CCACAAGCGGCAGTGGAAAATTACCGGAGCGCGAGATCTAGTGGAGAAGGGAAAAGAAACGTAAGGGGATATGAACCGAACAGACACACACACACACAAACAGCAGCAGACATACGTGTTTCGCTTTGGTATTTATAGCTACAACCGACGAACGACGGCAAACTTGGGACCCGCCCGGTCGTTTCTTCGTTCGTTCGGTGCGGTTGTTTAAAAATGGGTACCCATTGGCCCCATTGGCTTTTCGCGGCAACAAGCAGTCATTGACATCTGTCGGCCGAAGCCTCGGAATCGAACCCCAACGAAAGAATGTACCGAATGCTATCGCCTCCTTCTGGCGTTAAGAGGGAGGCAAAAAATATTTTCGTCTGCGGTCGGAAGGATGGCGCACGACGGCGGCGAATGATTTCGACATGAATACGAGAAGAAGATGAAAATCGAGAACGAACGTGATCGCGCCAAACTGCTTTAATAAACGAGAAAGCGAACCATGTTGTCGGGATGAGATTAAAGAATCCGGCCGACAGATGCGTTATGTAACTCGTGAAATATGGATTTTTCATGATATTTAGCTTTTTTTATATCAATTTTATGTTTGGGGCGGACAAAAATTATGACTTTTATTGGTTTTATTATGGTTGAAGATGAGTTTAAATCATTTGTTTAAAAATAAATGTTCCAACTTTAAATTATGATTCAATTATGTTCAGACACCGAAACGTGGGCTATTTAACAAAGTATTCACAACACGAGACAATTTGAAGCCACAACCTCGAAGACTATCAATTAATGTTTTGTTATATTACTTCTACATTCTGCAATCAAACAGAATTCCACCAGACCTTGACCCTTGACGTTGGCTACAAAACCATCATTCGCAATTTTCTGAAAACTTTTTCAGGATCTAGAGGAACAATACCGGTTAGTGGAGTTTTTTGGATGACAAGCAATAGCTTTGCGCTTTTTCTACATCCTTCTAAGAGAGTGTCTGTGAAATGTGATGAGAAATTATCTCTTATCAACACCTCATAACTAAGTAAATATTTAACGTGTGGCAAATAATAACTCTGGAACCTATCTGTGAATATTTTACACCTTGGTCCAGAAAACCCAAGATTTCATACCCCAATACATCAACAGAAAAATAATACAACCAAATGTTCTCTCACCTGGTTGAGCACAATTATAATAATCCCTAACCCACCATTATTCTGTACCATAGGGTAGCTCTTCGTTGAGTAATACCGTTCAAGACTATCCATTCAGAAATCAATGCAAAGGGAGGAAATGCAGTGGTAATCCGACTTTCAAGTTACACTCATAGTTGGAACATAACTGATTCCAGACCACCAGTTTGGATTACACAGTAAACATTTTTCAAGTTAGTAGCTTACGCTATTGACAAGTTTTGGCTAGCTCAATATAACCAACTGTCGGAATTCTACCTAACTGGACTCATCTAAAGACANGAAAACTGGGTATTGATGAATCTGTAGTTGAGTTCAAAGGTAGACTAAGCTTCAAGCAATATATCCCTAGCAAACGCCATACGTTTGGTAAAAAACTTTTTTTGTAGTGTTGTTCCGAAACGGGCTATGTTTTGGATTTCATTGTGTACTGTGGCAAAAGCACAGATATCTACGAAATTCCCGATTTAGGAATATCTGGAAGTGTGGTTACAACGCTTTTGGAACCATATATAGGAAAAGGCCATAAATTATACGTTGACAACTGGTACACTAGTCCAATATTATTTGACACACTCCACCAACAAAAAACCAATGCTTGTGGTACAGTAAAAAAGAACAGGAACGGAATGCCAACATTTCGAAAGAAGAAAATAAAAAAAGGCGAAACTGAGAGCCAAGAAAAGAACTGAAAGACAAGCGGGAAGTACTAATGCTGACGACAATGTATGAGGACACTATGGTTGATACGGGAAAAGTTAATAGGATCACGAACCAGAAACAGAGAAAACCATCTTGTATTGTCGATTATAACCAAAACATGGGGCTGGTTGACAAATCAGACATGATGCCGATCAAACTAAAGAGCATGAGAAAAAGTGTTAAGTGGTACAAAAACTAGCATTCCATTTCTTTGGCACTATGTTGCTAAATGCTCATGTGTTATATCTTACGAAAACTGGAAAGAAACCTTCTTGGCTGATTTCCACTCAGCAATAATAAGACAAATGATACACCAATTTCATGCATCAACAAATAATCCGATACGGTTGACCGCTCGTCATTTTCCAACAATGGTACCGGCCACAGAAAAAAAGAAATATGCTTGCCGTGTTTTTGTAGTATGTTCGCAAAGAACTACAAAAACAAGGCGTCGAAAGGAGACTCGAAAGGAAGATTGCAACGTCGGATTAGTGTAGTGCCTTGCTTTCAGGAATATCACAAAATGTTAAATTTTTAGGTTTTAGGTTCTGAAATAGTTTAGTATAATCTTAATAAAAAGTATTATAATAGGTTGATTTCATTTTTCTTTATTCAAAAATTCGGCCCAATCAGGTGTGTTTATAGAATTAATACTAGCCATCCAATGGGTTAAGAGTATTTGATTGTTTGACACGAATTTGCTTCCTCTTCCATCCATAACAAGTCATTGTCTGAAGTTGTTGGTATTCCTGATCNAGTTACACTCATAGTTGGAACATAACTGATTCCAGACCACCAGTTTGGATTACACAGTAAACATTTTTCAAGTTAGTAGCTTACGCTATTGACAAGTTTTGGCTAGCTCAATATAACCAACTGTCGGAATTCTACCTAACTGGACTCATCTAAAGACATCAGTGTTCTACCTGAACTTCATATATATGTGACTTGTCCAAACACGACGACGTAACCTACTTGCTACTGGATTAACAGTACATGAAGCAAATAGTAAGCTATAGAAAACTTGCAGTAGGCACGAAAGTGGCAAATCACTCAATGAGTCCTTCCATGTAAATTTCACGTATTGTAAAATGGTGGAAACGCCTCCAATGTAGGAATGAGTGAATACAAAGCTCAAATGGAAGGAAAATGTGAAGAAAAATCGAGAGAACTCGACTTCATAATACGAGAACTTAAAATAAATTATTTGTGTATAATTAGGTCCTTAAACTGATCTGGGTTTAAGATCTGGGAAGTGATAGCAACACCAAGAATATCCAGATGTGGCAAAATAAGGTGTTCCTGATGATCGTAGATGCTCTGTGGTATGTGCGAAATAAAGACTTAAACACTTACTAAAGACTTAAAAACATAGAGATATAAATATTTGAAGGTTCTTTTCGTTAAACAGGAAGTTAAACGGATGAGCTAGAAGCACGAAGATCATAACCGTTCCTGAATATTTGATAACGCTAACCTGTGATTGGACATGGACAAACTCAATACCCATTGTTTGATGGATGTGCATTAAGGACTAAAAAAGAATATCTAACACTGCTTGCATGTGTACTAGGTTTATATCACTTTCACTATACCTGTTGAAATGGCTTCACTCTTTTCAATCTTCAAAGCCACGGTTATCTAGGAGCTGGAAAGCTTTCACGTTGGTGTGCTGGTGCAGCCTCTGTTTGTTTGTCCGGGCATAATCCTTGATAACGTTGTCGACAGTTCCACTTTTAGATCCTTGAGCAGATTGTCATTCAGAAACATTTGCACGGTATTTCGTTTGCTTTGACTGGTACAACCTCAGAGTTGAATATCATAAGTCCATTTATTATACACTGAAAAAGCTGAATATCTGCCCAATTACCAGTATTTTTTTTTGTGCTTAAGTCTGAGTTCTTCATATTTTTCTTGATATGTTGTTTCCAAATGGTTCTAAATGTAAGCAACTCTGTTGTGCATATGAGGTAAAGAGCAAGTTCTAATACACTACTCTGTGGCACTTTTGATGGACTTTTCTCAAACCTGAGTAGCCATCATTGTGTTTGATCCTGAAATAGCAGTAAGATAAATAGAATTTTAAGATTTTTGAATGTTGGGCAGGAAGAAGTATCCCAAACTTTTGGTCCAACCCCTTATGTTTTACTTACACCGTATCCAGAACTATCGCTATATTGATGTCTAGTGACTTTTCAATGGTATCAGTAATTCTGTGGATCTGATCAATCAGTATCCTGTTCAATGATATCCAGCATCGTTCCTTGGCTTAAGTTGACATATTTGTTCTAGATAGTCTCCGAATCTAAAGTCTTTCGTTCATTACATCTGACCCAGCTACCATCTTCATTTCTGATCGGAGCTATTTGCATGAGAAGTCTTCTAAATTTTTTGGCGAATATTCGGTGCTGGAGTTATCATTTTTAACTATCATTTCATCCTCGCCCTTATTCTTTTTAATATCAGATGTAGGATTTCTTTAGGGTAGTTGTTGTCTTTTAGATTTCTCCTCATATCTGGGATATTTTGCCATCTATAACCATATATGAATCATTCTCATCCTTATTGGATATCTTTGATCAGCCCATCTCAGAATAAAATTGTTCTTCTGTCTACAGTAGTTTCTCTGCTAGATTAACTCTTTCTTCTAACGTTATTTTGAAGCTTTCCCAATCAGTTCTTTTTTGTTGAGCAGACTTCACTTACAATTAGAGCTAATACAATCAGTGTGTGATCCGAGTTTAATTCAAAGTTGTCTTCGATTTGCGTGTAATTGCTTGACACTTTTTTACTGATGTAGAAATCTATCATGTATGGGATCATATTTGTGGTGATCATCTTTCTTGAATTTGTAATTTAGCATGATAGGAGATTTCTCTTTTTTAATTGTATCTTCTATGTGGTTTTTAGGAGCACCTTTTATAGGCGTGCTATCAGATGTAGTATTCTTGCGTTTCTTACAATGTTTAAATCTAGTCCACTCCATTTCTCTGGAAAGTTCTTCCTCATCCGTGTGGGCATTCCTATCAAAGTACCAGAGAGGTTGCTCTTGTTGTGTGTTTCAATCAAATATGATTTTTGAAATTCAATTAATCAATGTCATATTAGTAAGTCATGTTAAATTTAACTGACATCAAAATCCATTTAATTATCCTCATTTTTGGTGTGATTATCGGAATCGTTTCAATTTTATTTTACATTAACCAAACGAATCAAATCGATTGTTCTTCAAAAATTAACCATCTTGGGCTCAATCGAAATGGATCAAATCAATCTGTGAATGATCGTTTAAAAAATCAAATGAAAATTTTATGTTGGGTGATGACTTGCCCTCAGAATCATTATTTAAAAGCATTCCACGTGAAACAAACTTGGGGGAAACGATGTGATGTTTTATTATTTATGAGCTCAAAAAAAGGTATTTCAATAAAATTTTTTAACAAAAAAATGTTTGATTATGTTGGTTTAGACGAAAGCTTACCAGCAATTGGGTTAGAAGTTAAAGAAGGTAGAGAACATCTTTGGGAAAAATCCCGAGAAGCTTTTAAGTATTTATACAAATATTACTTAAATGATATTGATTGGTTCATCAAAGCTGACGATGACACGTTTGTTTATAAAAAAAATCGATTCAAATTAATATTTTATTTATTAATTTACTTTTTTAGTTATGTTATCATTGAAAATTTAAGATTATTACTTCGCCAATACGATCCTAAAAAACCGTATTTCTTAGGAAGTCTTATCCAACAAAAAAGAGTTGACCTCGCAGAATCAAATTTAAAATATATGTATGGCGGTTCTGGTTATGTTTTAAGCAAAGAAACCCTTCGGAAATACATCGAAGAATCTTTAAACGATCCAAATCTTTGTTTTAACCCGGATGTTGAAAAAAACGAAGATATGTACATTGGAAAATGCTTGGAAAATGTTGGGGTTAAAATGGTGTATACTCACGATGATTTTGGAAGGGAAAGATTTTTGCATAATCATTTAATTAATATTTTTAAAGAGTGGGGTGTAAATAAATTAATTTTTATTAATAATCGGGGGACTGGAAAGTAATATCCGATTTTTACTAGCTCTGCTTACTTTATCAATCACATCTTATTGGGTGTCAACTTAGCTCAGCTGTACTTCGTGGCGATTCATTCAGAGAGAGTCACTTCCTTTTGCGTTTTGAATTATCATACAGGAATTATTTTTCATTTGCAGTGATTAAGCGATCAAAAAATCATTCTTATTGTGCTGTTGGAGCAATAAGTTGCTTGTCATTGATCAGTTAGCTTTGTTATCTTCGGACAACTTATGCAGAACCCAAATCTCCTCTTTGCTTACTTTATCTATCTGATGCAAACGATCTTGGATGGTCAACCAAGGTTGGAGTGTCCAAGATTTAGCATTTCAAGATGAGCGAATATTCCTCCAAACATACAGCAGCACTTTTTTGGGGTGTCAACTTAGCTCAGCTGTACTTCGTGGCGATTCATTCGGAAAGAGTCACTTCCTTTTGCATTTTGGATTATCATACAAGACTCATTTTTCATTTGCAGTGATTAAGTAATCAAAAATCCTTCTTATTGTGCTGCTGGAGCAATAAGTTGCTTGTCATTGATCAGTTAGCATTGTCATCTTCGGATAACTTATGCAGAACCCAAATCTCCTCTTTGCTTACTTTATCAATGTAATGCAAACGATCTTGAATTATCAACCAGGTTGGTGTGTTCAAGATTTAGCATTTCAAAATGAGTGATTATTCCTCCAAACATACAAAAGCACTTTTTTGGGGTGTCAACCTGGCCCATCTGTATTTCGTGGCGATGCATTCGGAGAGAGTCACTTCCTTTTGCGTCCTGGAATATCATACAAGACTCATTTTTCATTTGCAGTGATCCTTCTTTTTTTGATCGGTTAGCTTTGTTTTCTTCTGACAAATTATGCAGAACTCAAATCTCCTCTTTGCTTACTTTATCGATGTGATACAAATGTTCTTGGATGGTCGACCAAGGTTGGTTAACCCATTCGATGCCAAACTCCTACATATACGTTGGGCACTGTCGTGTAGGACACGAATATTTCACGAGTATTGAGAAATTTCTACTAAGTAGAGGAGAGTGCAAGTGTTGAATAGTTGAAGTGTGTTTACATCTTATTGTAATAGTTTATGAAATAAATCACTCCAGTACAAATATGGCAATGGAAACCGGAAAAGACGAGTTAGAAAATTTTATTTTGCACATTGATTCGGAAGAGGAATATTTTTCCGAATCGGAATTGGAGATAAACTTAGCCGGCGAGGAGAAAGTGTTGACTCATATAATGAAAATGTTGACCCAGAATATCAAGAATTTCAACCGAACAAGCGGCAAAGACCACTCTTCTCATGGACTTCTCACAATTTTATGCCAAGCATTCATCCTTTTGATACATCGCATTCGGGTATTCGAACTGACGATTCAAGTGAAAATTCTTCCGAAAAAGATTTCTTTTTGTGTTTTCTATAGCGTGACATTATAAACCTAATAGTACAAGGAATCGAATTCGCGACTTCAATGCTGGAATGATGTAAATGAAAACGAGGTGTATTTATTCATAACGGTGTCAATGCTGATGACAAGGATGAAGAAACTGAAAATAAGTGAATATTGGAGTCGTAATGCCCTTATACACACTCCAATATTTGCCACATTGATGTCGAGAAATCGTTATATGTGCATTTTATCGATGTTGCACATTTGCACGCCAGCCGAAGAGAACAAGGACAACAAACTTACAATAATTCAATCATTTCTCGACAATATAAGAAGAAACTGTAAAGAAACTTTTTACCCGTTTGAAAAATTGTGTATTGATGAATCTGTAGTTGAGTTCAAAGGTAGACTAAGCTTCAAGCAATATATCCCTAGCAAACGCCATACGTTTGGTAAAAAACTTTTTTTGTAGTGTTGTTCCGAAACGGGCTATGTTTTGGATTTCATTGTGTACTGTGGAAAAAGCACCGATATCCACGAAATTCCCGATTTAGGAATATCTGGAAGTGTGGTCACAACGCTTTTGGAACCATATATAGGAAAAGGTCATAAATTATACGTTGACAACTGGTACACTAGTCCAATATTATTTGACACACTTCACCAACAAAAAACTAAAGCTTGTGGTACAGTAAAAAAGAACAAGAACGGAATGCCAACATTTCGAAAGAAAAAAATAAAAAAAGGCGATACTGAGAGCTTCTGTACGGAAACTATGCTGAGTATCAAAAGGAAAGACAAGCCGGAAGTACTAATGCTGACGACAATGTATGAGGACACTATGGTTGATACGGGGAAAGTTGATAGGACCACGAACCAGAAATAGAGAAAACCATCTTGTATTGTCGATTATAACCAAAACATGGGGCTGGTTGACAAAACAGACATGATGCCGATCAAACTAAAGAGCATGAGAAAAAGTGTTAAGTAGTACAAAAAACTAGCATTCCAGTTCTTTGACACTATGTTGCTAAATGCTCATGTGTTATATCTTAGGAAAACTGAAAAGAAACCTTCTTGGCTGATTTTCACTCCGCATAGTTGGAACATAACTGATTCCAGACCACCAGTTTGGATTACGCCGTAAACATTTTTCAAGTTAGTAGCTTACGCTATTGACAAGTTTTGGCAAGCTCAATATAACCAACTGTCGGAATTCTACCTAATTCTACCAATTTCATGCATCAACAAATAATCCGATACGGTTGACCGCTCGTCATTTTCCAGCAATGGTACCAGCCACAGAAGAAAAGAAACATGCTTGCCGTGTTTTTGTAGTATGTTCGCAAAGAACTACAAAAGCAAGGCGTCGAAAAGAGACTCGGTACATGTGCGAAGATTACAACGTCGGATTATGTGTAGTGCCTTGCTTTCAGGAATATCACAAAATATTAAATTTTTAGGTTTTAGGTTCTGAAATAGTTTAGTATAATCTTAATAAAGAGTATTATAATAGTTTGATTTCATTTTTCTTTATACAAAAACTCGGCCCGATCAGGTGTGTTTATAGAATTAATACTAGGCATCCAATGGGTTAAGAGTATTTGATTGTTTGACACGAATTTGCTTCTTCTTCCATCCTTAACGAGTCATTGTCTGAAGTTGTTGGTATTCCTGATCGATACGAGTCGGAAAGATAAAAAACACCGGGCATTTATAAAAATACATACATGTTTGTTTGTATTGCGAACCTCAAAAAAAACATACAATGCCGGATATGTACCTGTTTTGGTATTTGGCTGGCAAATCACTCTAATCTTAAAATGTCTTCAACACTCTTCCCTGTCTCTTTCCTTATTCCCAGTCAAAAAAATCCATCCCTTCTGTTCTATCCATCGCAACAGTTTTCTCCTTCCTTGTGTTGTACTTTATTTTTTGACCATTGCTTCCAGTCCTCTCTCGCCGTCCACATTCACTTCTGTCTTTCCTTACTTCCCCAGCTCTCTTCCATCGGTAACGCCATCTTTTCTTTGACACCTGTTATGATTTTTCCATTCGCCCTTCCCATTTTTCCCTACTCTCTGTATACTGACAGTCCCATTCATAACCTTCTGACAACCTCTGTTTCATTTCTTTCCACTCCACTTTATCCAGCCATGTCTCCACCAGTCTAATCACATCAAACTTACTTTTAAATATTCCACAAAATACTTCTCTTTCTTACAAAACACCAGCCACGTTCTGGAACACCACTCTTACTACCTTATCTGCCTCCCTACCTCCTCCTATCCTTTTCGAAACTTCAGCATCATTACCAATACTGCGTCTTAGCTTTTTATAGGCTGCTTGCAAAACACTGATTAAGCTTTTTTTGTTAGTTTGTGTTAAGTTTGTTCAAGACTAGTAGGATGGACAGCGGGTCGCTAATTATGTGTTGGAGGTGACAGGGAGAATTCCGAGAGAACTACTTAAGTTTGGAGTGACGTTAAATGATGCTTCAGGCACCAACAGAAGATGTACAAATCCAAGGTAGTGTGTGGTCACTGTGCAGAGAAGGGGCATAATGCTGGAAGCTTCAGTGTGTATGAATTGCAAGAAAAGGAATAACCATACTCAACGTGGTCCAACTCGCGAGAGAAAACGATGTGCATGTCCTGATGGTACAGCAACCCTACAGCACCCTGAGGAAGGATGTATGCAGAACCGCAGGGAAATAGAGGTTATGGTGTTAGGTAGTGGTACCATACATTGACTAGGCTTTGTTAGGTTGAAGTATGTTTAGGGTTGAAGATATGATTGGTACAGAGAATGAGATTAGTATCACTGCTACGAGTAGAGGTATAGATTCGGACTGGAACATTCTGGACGAGATATCTCTGAATGATTACAGGATAGTTCAGTAGAAGGTGTGTTTCGATGTTAGTAAGGGTAGTGTGTTAGGGAAATCCTTTAGTTTCAGAAATGTTGATTGGGATGATTTGGCAGCCGTCAGGAGTAAAAACTCTTCCCTGTTTCTTTCCTTATTCCCGGTCAAAAAATTCCATCCCTTTTGTTCTATCCATCGCAACAGTTTTCTCACTTCCTTGTGTTGAAATTTATTTTTGACCATCGCTCCCAGTCCTCTTTCGCCGTCCACATTCATTTCTGGCTTTCCTTACTTCCCCAGCTCTCTTCCATCGGTAACGCCATCTTTTCTTTGACACCTGTTATGATTTTATCATTCGCCCTTCCCATTTTTCCCTACTCTCTGTATACTGACAGTCCCATTCATAACTTTCTGACAACCTCTGTTTAATTTCTTTCCACCCCACTTTATCCAGCCATGTCTCCACCAGTCTAATCACATCAAACTTACTTTTAAATATTCCACAAAATACTTCTCTTTCTTACAAAACACCAGCCACGTTCTGGAACACCACTCTTACTACCTTATCTGCCTCCCTACCTCCTCCTATCCTTTTCAAAACTTCACCATCATTACCAATACTGCGTCTTAGCTTTTCAATGGCTGCCGGTATTCTCCGCAGTACTTATCTCATATCGAACTAACTCCCTAAGGATCTCTCTACCACATAGTTTGTCACATTCCTGTCCCTCCTCCAAGTCTTGAAAATCACGTTCACCTCCTTTTTGAACTCCTCTCAGGTTATTCCGTTCTTATATATCTATATCCTTCCATATTTCTTCTAGCATCACCTCCTCATCCATTTCTTTTCCACATGTAGTACTAATATGAGCTGATAGATGGCAAAATCGTCATGCGCATAAACGACATTACTTTTCTGTCCCCCTACTAATATAATTTACTATTTAATTCATTTTTAGGATGTAGAATGTTGTAGTGATTATTTAATCACAATGCATTACATATCACCAAAGCAAATGTACATCATTGATTACTTTTTGTACTCATTTACTTTGCAAGGAGTTAATTTTGTGCAAGAAATTTTGGATGATAGAGGAAAATTACCTTATAAACCCGCCAGGTCTTTATTATTTTAATTAATTCAAAAAATTCCTCAAAATTTCTTTCAGAATTTTAAGCAGACTTGGTTAATTAACTGTCAAACTCAATTTGTCACCCCCAAAACAATGTTTGAAATCACCAAAATCATTTTAACATTCCTTTTTGGTTTAATAATTGGGTTTATTTTAACGCTTATTTATTTTCCCTACTTACAAAATGAAAATGAAAATTCCCCCACAAGAATAGTTCCTTCCCAATTATTATTAGAAACCGAAAATCGAATGGAATCTGATATAATCTCATCAAAAATCGGCGTTTTATGCTTGATTATAATCTTCGATTTAAATAATTATTATAAAATGGAACAAATTAAGAGTACGTGGGGGAAAAGGTGTAATTTATTAATTTTTTATGAATATGAGAGTGTTGATGAATTTTCGAAATGGAATGGATTCATTTCTGGGTTAAACCACGTTTATGATAATTATTTCGATTATTTTGAGTGGATTCTTTACACAGATTTAACGACGTAATTAATAAATAATTAAGTTAATTAATATTAATTAATGATATTTTAGATATGCAGTTCTAGAAAATATTAAATTTATGCTTCAAGATTATGACGAAAATATTCCTTATTTATTTTACTCGCAAAGTTTAGAAGATGATCAAATTGAGTTTATTTTAAGTAAAGAAGCTTTAAGGAGATTTATAAATGTTCTTATCAAAACGTTTTTTTTCCCAAAGAAAAAATAAATAATTTTCTTTTCGTTTTTAGGAACCAATTAATCAAATTACCAATAACCAAGATATTTTTAAATACTTTAAGACTTATTTAAGTGCTTTAGGGGTTAATATGAAGGATACCTACGATTACAAAATGAAAGATACATTTTTAACGATCAATTTTGTTGATAAACATATAGATAACATGATTAATTTTGATAAAGAACGAAGATTGAAATGTTTAAATGTAAATTATTGATGTAAATTAATCATAAAACACTGATTAAGCTTTTTTTTTAGATTGTAGATTGTTTTTCTAAAACACCTTTAGCGTTTATGGGTGTTTCCCAAGAAGAAATGATTATGTTGGAATTTTTGATTTATAATTTAAAAGCATTTGGTGTTTAATAGAAGAATTAATTTAGAATTTTCTTTCTATCATTGAGATTTTTTTGTCTAAATAAAAAGAATATTTTGAATCACACTGTATAAGTCCTATTGTAGACTTAACTCACGTCCTTACTGTCATCAATGTACTTCTTTTAACAGAACAAGTTATTGGCAACAAACTCGTAAAAGTAATGATTACCTTAAGTACTGCTGGAAAAGATTCCTTTTCATCGAAGTGCCATGAAGTGTTAAATTTGTTCAAGACTGGTAGGATGGACGGTAGGTGTTAGAGAAATCCCCGGAGAGAATTAGTCAAGTTTGGATTGACGTTAAATGATGCTTCAGGTAGTACTAGCAGAAGATTTGAAAGTCTAACATAGTGTGTGGTCATTGTGCAGAAAAGGGACATGACTTTAAGAACTGCAGGATAATGCAGGAAGCTTCTGTGTGTATAAATTGCAAGAACAGGAAATAACCATACTCAACGTGGTCCAAGTCGCGAGAGAAAAAGATGTGAATGTCCTGATGGTACAGGAATAGTACCTGAGGAAGGATGTATACAGAACCGAGGAAGATAGAGATTATGGTGTTAGGTAGTTGTATCATACATTGATTAGGCTTTGTTAGGTTGAGGTATGTTGAGGATGGAGAACCAAAATTCCTGTCCAGGACCGGATATTGCTAGATTAGTATCACTGCTACGAGGGGAGGTGTCGGTGGACTGGAACATTCTGGACGATATATCTCTGAGTGATCACAGGATAGATGAACAGAAGGTGTGTTTGTATGTTAGTAAGGGTAGGGGAATCGTTCAGTTTCAGAAATGTTGATTGGGGTGGCTTGGCAGCCGTCTGGAGTGAAAACTATACGAGGAAAATTGTAAGACTGGAGGTACTTTCGTGATATCTGTACAGTTGTGTAACTGTTTGAATGAAATGTGCCAGAAAAGGTAAGAAGAAAAGGTAAATCGAGAATGACAGCTAGACGGAAATTTAAGGATAATAGAAGAGGGACAGAAGCAAGTGGGAATTGGTTGAAAGAGGTCTTGATGAGCAAATGGAGGGAATACAAGCGAGAGATTGTCAGAGCAAGAAAATCGGTTGTTGAAAGATTGGGTGAAAGAGTTCGGGATAATGGTTTGGGAGAAGTTTGAAAAGCATCCAGGAATAAAGCCATCAAGGTAATGGTAGCTGGCGTGCATGAGGGTAAATTGTGTGTGACAAGGGATCTAACCATCAGGAAGCTATTCAAGAGGTACTTATCGCAAGAAGTTGAAGGCGAGGACAAGACGGTCCAGAGAAAGATTAGAAGAGAGGTGGTCAGCAGAGTGGAAGGGTATAGTTGTAACAGGAGAGATTGGGATAGGGAATATGGGAGAGGTATTGAGGGCCAAGGAAACGTGGTTTCAAGAAGAATAGATGTGGGACATTCTTCTTTGATGTTTGAAAACTAGCTCAGGCTGATATGCCTGACGTCAGGCTGGTATATAGTGCTTCTGGTGAGACTGTTGAATTTTGAGGAGAGGTATAGGAATAATTCAGGCACTAGACGGTTTGGTGAGAGGTATGAGGAGAATCAAGAAGAACGGCTGGCATGAAGTTTTGATAATGGTAGATATTGCTAACACCTTTAATATCATTGACATGCCAGAAATTTTGAGAGGATGGAATGTCCAAGGTGGTACCTAGTGTACGCGATTGAGACTTTTTGGTAGTAGAGAGTTCAGAAGTGAATTTATTCAGTATAGGGGAGCGTAATGGCTCTGACCCCCTGACCCCCCCTAATGGCTCGGGGCGGCGGTAACTCGTCATTGGCAACGAGTAAGCGGTATCGTCACCTAACGAAATCTTCTCATACCACCTCGAGCTTCCAAGTATGTACGCATACATACATATTCAGCCTAGAATGAATCGGGACTATCACAGATCGAGCCAGGACCTGTTATATGAATATGTGGAACGTAGTTTATTAACGTCAGAAGATAGAGCGTAGATATGGAATTAAGTATATGGAAAGAATGTGAGGACTAGGCTGGGAAGTGTAACGTCGAGTATGCTAATTGTTAGTTTAAGTGCGGAAATAGGTGCCATGTTGTGGTGGTGGATGTATCATTGCTCGTTATTGAGTACATGAAGTATGTTAGGGATAAAGTGCGGCTGTGCTAGGAAGATTGGTGGTAATGGCTGGGAAAGAATGAGGTATGAGTACGAGTGTTAGAAGAATGATTGTGGAATGGGTCAACCAAATCAAATTAACTTAACACATTCACCATCGGAATTGAGGAGATCCCAGGGCAGGTGACGCGGAAGACATCAAACGCCATACTTTCCATAATTCACAATTTTCATCAACCCGTCCCCTCTTTCACTCCTTCTTTCAATGATTACTTTCTCTCTACATTCAGAAAAATATTCTGGAGAGTATCTTCGCCTCCTTCACGCACACATATAAACTCGTATCTTTCAGCCTAACCATCCCATATATACATTGAATCGACCATGAACTGTCATGATACTGCAAATGAGCTGTATTCCATTTGCCGTCATATCTATTCTTCTCTTCCACTCCCTCTTCATACTTTTGGCAGTTGTTGATGTCGCTCGTCTTTCCTCCAATTCTCCTATCTCCTTTCTTTGTCCTATCTCATTTCTATAAATACTTATTATTTTGCAGACCTCTCACCTTTTCATTCTACACCCAGAACTTAACACGATCCCATCCTCGCCACATACCCAACTTTTCCTTATGTCCGCCAATTCATTCCCCATACATTTCGTTTCTCATTTACCATTTCCTTACTCACCAGGTGTCCCGGTGGAGCCTGGGCACTACATATAAAGCTTTTTAACTCTACTGTTATTTGCTGTAACTTCCCCTACTTCTGCACCGTACTAACCGTTTGTATTAATTATGTATTAGTGTCAGAATCACCACATGCTAGAATTAATTACTTCTGTAATAATTTGTGATCTTATGGTTTTCTATGTTTTATTGAAAAGACTTTAATTAATTTTAAACCATTTTATTTATAAGTAACTTAACAAATATCGATAAGTTCTTAACGATAGTCTACGATTGACTGTCTATATAGAACTAATTCTAGTTGATAGGAAACGAGTAGTTCATTGACACTTGTGTCGTCAGCATATTGGAATTCAATGTGATGTTTTCGACTCTTCAGTGAACTACACGTTTTCAATATTATGCAAAAATAAAATAATAAAAATTCCTTAAAACTGAACTAAATTAAACTATTAACTATATCCATTACACTTTATATCTAGTTTGTACTGAGAATTTTATTTATTTAGGACCTTTCTAAATACATCCATAACGCCGAACATGTAAATGCCATAACATGTAATTCCAAGTATGAAATAATATATAGGGTGTAGAAAATCGTTAAATCTGGAAAACATTGCAAGTGTCAAAAGTAAATTAGACATTTCCAGACTTTTAAACATTTCATTGGACATGCCGCATTATTTGTGAAAGTGAAAGTAACAACATTTGAATGACAAGCTGCTGAAAACTCAATGATCGCTGATCCAGACTTAGTTCATAGTTTATACTACTACGAAAAAGTCTACTTTTAACGAATTGTTTGCTTTTGCGTCTGTCTCGGAGCATATTGCAGCGGGCCATTTGTTAAATATCAAATCTGGCAGTGTGGGATATGATGAACTCTAGGTTGTGATGATACATTACTGTTGTCCTTTCATTATTCTTTGCGTCACACATATTTTTAATATTTGCTTATCGAGGTCAATCTTTCCAATTATGAATGATCAAATTTGGAGATTTATCGATAAACTTAAAATTTTGCCTAGGACACAGTCTGGATTTCGTGCTAACTACAGTTACGATACAGCATTAACGCATATAGGCTTACTGGATTAGTTCTGCTAGACTACAGTACTACTGTCAATCATAGGATGTTATCAGCTGTCTTATCCTTTATTGGGTTCAATGATTCTGCTGTGAGCATGATTGATAGTTATGTGTCAGACAGACAACAAGCGGTTAAATTAGGTGATCGGAGATCTGAACTGCAAAACTTGAAGTCAGGAGTGCCACACGGCTCTATTTTGGGGCCTCTACTGTTTTGTATCTACACTTCTAATCTTTCGACAGTTTTGAA